AAATTAATTGTGGCTATAGCCGCCTCGATCGCTGTCTCCCCAGCCTCGCCGCGGCCGCTCCGGGACGCGCCCGCCCGCCGCCCGGCTCTCCCCCCCTTTGGGCTGCTGCTGCTGCTGCTGTGACTGCTGCTGCGAGAGGAGGAGGAGGAGGAAGCAGCAGAAGGGGGGGGGAGCGGGGGGTGGGGGGGAGACCAAGAAGTAGAGTTGGGAGCGAGGGAGCTTCACCCCCGGGGCGGTGGTTGTTTCTTTTTTCTCTTTCTTTCTTTTTTTCTTTTCCTTTTTTTTTTCTTCTAATTCCTGAGGGGTGGTTGCTGCTTTTGCTACATGACTTGCCAGCGCCGGAGCCTGCGGTCCAACTGCGCTGCTGCCGGAGCGCTCAGTGCCACCGCCGCCGCCCGCGCCGCCCGCGCCCCGCTCGGCACCCGCCGGTCGCCGCCGCCCGCCGCGCCGCTGTCCCGCTCCCGCGCCGCCGCCGCCGCCGCCGCCGCCGTTTCCCCCCCGACGACTGGGTGATGCTGGACATGGGAGATAGGAAAGAGGTGAAAATGATCCCCAAGTCCTCGTTCAGCATCAACAGCCTGGTGCCAGAGGCGGTCCAGAACGACAACCACCACGCGAGCCACGGTCACCACAACAGCCACCACCCCCAGCACCACCACCACCACCACCATCACCACCACCACCCGCCGCCGCCCGCCCCGCAACCGCCGCCGCCACCGCAGCAGCAGCCGCCGCCGCCGCCGCCGCCCCAGGCACCACAGCCCCCCCAGGCGCGGGGCGCCCCGGCAGCCGACGACGACAAGGGCCCCCAGCAGCTGCTGCTCCCGCCTCCGCCGCCGCCGCCACCGGCCGCCGCCCTGGACGGGGCCAAAGCGGACGGGCTGGGCGGCAAGGGCGAGCCGGGCGGCGGGCCCGGGGAGCTGGCGCCCGTCGGGCCGGACGAGAAGGAGAAGGGCGCCGGCGCCGGGGGGGAGGAGAAGAAGGGGGCGGGCGAGGGCGGCAAGGACGGGGAGGGGGGCAAGGAGGGCGAGAAGAAGAACGGCAAGTACGAGAAGCCGCCGTTCAGCTACAACGCGCTCATCATGATGGCCATCCGGCAGAGCCCGGAGAAGCGGCTCACGCTCAACGGCATCTACGAGTTCATCATGAAGAACTTCCCCTACTACCGCGAGAACAAACAGGGCTGGCAGAACTCCATCCGCCACAACCTGTCCCTCAACAAGTGCTTCGTGAAGGTGCCCCGCCACTACGACGACCCGGGCAAGGGCAACTACTGGATGCTGGACCCGTCGAGTGACGACGTGTTCATCGGCGGCACCACGGGCAAGCTGCGGCGCCGCTCGACCACGTCGCGGGCCAAGCTGGCTTTCAAGCGCGGGGCGCGCCTCACCTCCACCGGCCTCACCTTCATGGACCGCGCCGGCTCCCTCTACTGGCCCATGTCGCCCTTCCTGTCCCTGCACCACCCCCGCGCCAGCAGCACTTTGAGTTACAACGGCACCACGTCGGCCTACCCTAGCCACCCCATGCCCTACAGCTCCGTGTTGACTCAGAACTCGCTGGGCAACAACCACTCCTTCTCTACGGCCAACGGCCTGAGCGTGGACCGCCTGGTCAACGGGGAGATCCCGTACGCCACGCACCACCTCACAGCCGCCGCGCTCGCTGCCTCGGTGCCCTGCGGCCTGTCGGTGCCCTGCTCCGGGACCTACTCCCTCAACCCTTGCTCGGTCAACCTGCTTGCGGGCCAGACCAGTTACTTTTTTCCCCACGTCCCGCACCCGTCAATGACTTCGCAGAGCAGCACGTCCATGAGCGCCCGGGCCGCGTCGTCCTCCACATCTCCGCAGGCCCCCTCGACCCTGCCCTGTGAGTCTTTAAGACCCTCTTTGCCAAGTTTCACGACGGGACTGTCCGGGGGACTGTCTGATTATTTCACACATCAAAATCAGGGGTCTTCTTCCAACCCTTTAATACATTAACATCCCTGGGACCAGACTGTAAGTGAACGTTTTACACACATTTGCATTGTAAATGATAATTAAAAAATAAGTCCAGGTATTTTTTATTAAGCCCCCCCCATTTCTGTACGTTTGTTCAGTCTTTAGGATTGTTTATTATTCTAACAAGGTGTGGAGTGTCAGCGAGGTGCAATGTGGGGAGAATACATTGTAGAATATAAGGTTTGGAAGTCAAAATTATAGTAGAATGTGTATCTAAATAGTGACTGCTTTGCCATTTCATTCAAACCTGACAAGTCTATCTCTAAGAGCCGCCAAATTTCCATGTGTGCAGTATTATAAGTTATCATGGATCTTTATGGTGGACGCAGACCTTGAGAACAACCTAAATTATGGGGAGAGTTTTAAAATGTTAAACTGTAATTTGTATTTAAGAAGCATTCGTAGTAAAGGTGCCCAAGAAATTATTTTGGCCATTTATTGTTTTGTCCTTTTCTTTTAAAAAACTGTTTTTTTCTTTTGTTTACTTTTAGACCAAAGATTGGGTTCTAAAATGCACTTGGTATGCTAAGTATTAAAAAAAAAAAAAAAAAAAGGAAAGTTGTTTCAGTTGGCAGCACTGCCCATTCAAATGAATCGGAAGGGGACAAAATTAATGATTGCCTTCAGTTTGTGTTGTGTATATTTTGATGTATGTGGTCACTAACAGGTCACTTTTATTTTTTCTAAATGTAGTGAAATGTTAATACCTATTGTACTTATAGGTAAACCTTGCAAATATGTAACCTGTGTTGCGCAAATGCCGCAAAAATTTGAGTGATTGTTAATGTTGTCTTAAAATTTCTTGATTGTGATACTGTGGTCATATGCCCGTGTTTGTCACTTACAAAAATGTTTACTATGAACACACAGAAATAAAAAATAGGCTAAATTCATATATATCTTGATACTTTTGTCTCTTTTATTAAATAGAGCTAATTTTTAAAAGACCATTAAAGTTCTAGGGAATTCAAAGGCTTTTCCAGCCAACTAAAATTAACTGCTCCTTTCATTTGAATTGAGACTTTAAAAATTAAAATAGTATTTTTTTTCCATTGTGGAATCAAATTTTACAAGGAGCAGGCTATTTAATAAACACTAGCTTTAAAGAAAGTATAGGCTTTTCAGCTGATATCTTCATGTTTCTGTAGATATACAGCAAAAAAAATGATAATTTTATGTGCATAGCTATTTACCTTGTGTTTATTTTCAAATCAGTTGATAGAATGCTTTTTATATATTTTGTTTCAGGTATCTTGTTTATAGCATTTGGCAAATTATAAATAAATATATGTATATGGTTAGATAGAAGTGAATATAATGCACACATATGTAATATATATATATATATATATAGACACACAGAGCCCTTCAGTTCAGGTACAATTTGCGCTATGAATGCTGCAAATATTTTTGTTTAAATATTTGTATTTATACTTTCTAAGTCAGCATTTATTTTTGTGGCTGTTTACCCACAATGAAAGAGTTCTAATAAAGATGTGCTGAAGTTGCAATATAGATTTGCTGAAGTGATCACCTGTTGTAATGACTTGCAGATCAATGTTTATATTTTATTTTTCATTATAACAACTTAAAATTCTAGATGTTCAGAAGAAGTAAAATGCCTCTCTCTCCTTTTCTTTCATTTTTATAACATAGAGGTATTTATTTGATTCCCTTTTAAATGTCTGTATAATTTAGAGATTTGTTCCTTTTGCTTACAGTCATAATTTTGTTTTAACTTACAGTATACATATGCATGCATATATATGCATATATATCAATCTGAAACAAAATGAAAACATTTTTTGAATTGTTTCAGCATCCCAATTGCTATGGCTCCAGAAAATAATTAGAAAACCTAAGTAAAAGGTTTAGTAACTAATTGGATCCTGTGGAGAGTCTATGGAGGACAAGTTGTTCATTTGTTACAATTGTATAGTCTGAAATGTGTTCTGCAGTAATGCAATAAGCTGGCTACTTCTTACAATGGGCCCAATGAAAAATAATCTGTCCCCAAGATGTTATCGGCAGACACTTAGAGAGTTGCTCAGGGAAAAAGAAAAAAAAGAAAAAAAGAAAAAGCTTAGGAGAGAAGCAATCTGACTCAAATAGATTGAAACAGAAATGCAGAATAGTTAATATTGGGACATAAGGATGGGTGGGTTGTGGAAGGGAGAGAGAGAGAGAGGAAAAGAGAGAAGAAAGGGAAAGGGGATATTTGGCGGGGGAGGGAGCATCTCCCACTACCAAAAAGAAAGAAAGAGGACAGAGAATGCTATCTAAGAAAGATAGAAAGATAAAGTCCAGGAAAATTAAAAGAACTGGAACCAAATATACACAAATGGGAAACTGACTAAAATAGACCAAGACAGCTAGTTTAATTATCTCCTTTAAGTAGACTGGACATGATTTTATTTTCTTAGTAAGAGAGCAGTTTCACCAGAGGTCCAACTTTCTTGAAATGTAACAGTTCTTCAGAATGAAGCATGAAAGAAAATTCCACAAATAAATTGTTTCAGAAGCCAAGTTTATGATTGATATTAAAAATAGTAATAGAGTCCAAGTGAATGGGGTTAGGCAAGGGAAATCCCCATTACATATTTGTGAACAAAAACAGCTCAAAACATGTGTTTAGACTGAAAAAGGTGATGATGTATTGTTTGCTTTTACCATGCATTTTATTTGTGGAATGAGAATGTATTGGCACAGAAGAAATAGTCTTTTGCCTACCAAAAGTTAAAAAGTTGAACTCTTGTATTGTGGTAAAAGGGACATAGAGAAGAAAGAGTTCCCCCATGAGGGTTTTTTTTTTTTTCTGGCCATATTAAATAAGTATACTTATTTGTGATAAATGTTTATTTGCATGATCGAGAAATCAAATTTCAATGGCAAACTCCATAATTTGAGGTCAAGCATAAAATTGACTTCTTTGAACTCATAGGACCTAAGGACTGGAGTGGAAGTTCTATTTGGATACATCTCCAAGTTACATATATAATGGATGTGACTAGAAGTAAGAATAGCTTGTTGAATACGCATACAAGATAGGGAGGAGGGTATACAGAGAAAGAAATTTGTGAAGGCCTCCTGAAGCCCAATGTGAACATTTCATTTATCTCAATCTGTCCCATCATCTCTCAAGTTACCTTTTTCAAAGGCATACAGTGTTTTAGGATAGCATCTAATAGACTTTTTTTTTTGCAACAAAATGGTCATAATGTTGTGTTGGTATTTGTTGTCACCAACCTTTGCCAGTTAAAATTAGCTTATGCCAGAAAAACACTTCAAAACTTTTTGAACTTTTTCTTCTTTCATACTTATAATTATTTTTAATGAGATGAAGGTTGCTCTTTTTGAGATTTTGGAGCTGAAAATGATCATAACTTAAGACTTGAAATCCCAAACTGCAGTTTATCTCCAGGTTTAAAGTATTTTACTTGAATGTGTCTGATATAAAGTTAATACAGATTATTAATATATAAAACATTGAGAAAATCATTTAAACTAGAGCAGTAAGAGAATTCTTCCAAATATGTTTCTCCAACTTGTTACAAAATTGGAAGTCATGTGAACATGAAGTCCAGAACGAACAAGTTTCAATACAAGTATCTTTATGGCAATGGAAGATTTCATGTGGTTTATATGACTTGCATAAAATCAAGTGTAGAGAGACCAGAAAAAATGAGTCTTATAGGGTATTGATATAATTGTATATATTTAGGTTGGTGGATATTTCACCCAAATAGGTGGATAAATTGAATATATTTAGATGTGGTTTTTACAAAGTGTTTCTTACAACATTGTTGAGGAATTTGCTTGTGTTGAAATAATTTTGCTTCTGAGAAATTAATTTTATAAATATCTAAAATGGCTAGTTGTGTTTGGAACTAAATGCCTGCTGGAGAAATAGGCTAACAAAGGGTGAAGGTGAAGATCATTAGAGGTTTTAGAGCTGGCTGAGACGGGTTGCTGGGGTTGTATAACTGTGCCTAGAGGGCGGGGTTCCTGTACATTCCTACTTCACCAGATAACCTGCCCCCAACACCACTCCAGCTTCTGCCAGACAGATGGAACTCTCCAACGTGAAAATCTGCGCAGCCATTCCAACAAGCGGGGTAGGTGAAATTTGAATTAAAATTCTTCCCTCCCCCCTCCCCCACTTGAAGCCAATTGAGGCCAGATCCTGGAGATATGGAAAGAATAGGGGTCATCTAGATTTTCCTTTCGCGAGTACACACGTCTGCATTCTTCCTAAGAACTACCTACCTGTAAGAGTTCAAAGGGGCTTTCATTCTCGATTTTCTTTTGCGTGTTCTCATCCCAATCATCCCCCTTTCCCTACCCTCCCTCTAGGGCCTCCCCCCCCAACCACCAGCAGTTAAAATAATCCACCTCTTAGTTTTTGGCCCCCAAACCGACCTTTTCCCCATTCTGGCGGTCAGTTCGACTGGACCATGTCCTGAGGATGTAGGCCAAAGTGGCTCCGGGGAATATATAATGTAATGTTGTGTTTGAGTCTCTTTTCTCCCTTCCGATTTCTATTTGTTTTTTCCCTTCACCCAAGACTCCGCCTGGTGTTGGCCGAAGGATGCCGAAGAAAAAGCTTTAAGGACTGGGACGCTCTTACCCCCAAGATTGGTAAGTGCAAGTGCTTTTCGGAGGGAGGAGAGCTATGCCAGATTGCTTTTGACTAAGGCTTAAACTGCGACTTTGAGGTCCGGGGCTAAAGTGCTCCTCTGGTTTTTTTGTTTGTTTTTTGTTTTTGTTTTTTTGAAAAATTTCCTTAGTGGGAGCGCTATCAACAGAAGTAGCTGAAAGAATGCATGATTTTTCCACGTCGGCAGAAAGTCACCGTGGATCCCTAAGTAAAGAGGATGAAGACATGGCAAAGAGGGATGAAGAGCAAACGAGGCGAATTTATGCGTAGGAGGGGGTAGTGGGAGACTGAAATAGGTCCCAAAGTGCAGAGTAATTCAATTCGTGGAAATAAGATTTCTGAGTCTTGCCGCAGCTTCCAGAATACCCTAACGGACCTTTCTTAACGTTCAAACTCTTACGCATTTGTTCTCCCTATTTGAGACAAAGCTCTTTGCTCCAGAGCCAAGGACTTGTCTAATTCTAAAGTTCTTTTTTCTTTTCTTCTTCTCTACCCCCGCCACTTTTTTTTTTTTTTTTTGTAGTACGCCCCTCCTCCCCCTATTTTCACACTAACTTTGCCAACCTCTCCCAGATCTGGCCCTCCGCCCCCAGCTCCTTGGCCTAGGTCAGGCGAGGGTCCCCGCGGGATTTAGCGGAACTGCTCCAGGTACTGTGCGGCGGGACCCGGGTGGGAGGCTACTCCTCCGCCGGTTCGGAGGACTCGGGAAAAGCGCACCGTTCTGGGCTTGACTTTGTCCCTGATGGGAATATCCCAGTTCCCTGGCTTTGGGAATCTCAGGCAAATAATTGATTCTTAATGCACACTTAGGAGACGGCGGTGTAAGCTCGAGAGCCTGGCTGCCCCGAGAGTGCCTGAAGCGCGCCAGACGCACGTTAGCTTCCCCCGAAGCGAATTTGGGGCCCTCGCCGAGATTTCCTATTAGCTTTCCCCGTGCCTCAGGGACTCCCGGGTGAAGCTGGAGAAGGGCACGGTGGCGCGGCAGGGAACCAGCGGCGTTGTTTTCTCGGCCTTTGGAATCAAGTAGAAAAGTGATTTAGGCTGCTGAGTCGGGGCGGCGCTGGCGGCGGGTAGCGGGGTAGGAGAGGCGCTTCGGGAAGTGGCGGCGGAGATTCCGGCGGACGCGACACCCGACGCTGAGCAGGGAGCAACAAGGTGAGGGCGCTCTTGCCCAGGACAAGGAGAGCTTTGCGTTTGGTAGCGCACACTGACTGATGCCAGGAAAATTGACTCTACAGCCTTCCTTGGCTGGCGCGCTTCCCCACCTTTTTTTCTTTTTATTCTTGTTTTTCCCCCATCCCTTTCCCCCTGAAAGTTGTTTCTTTTTGTTTACCTGGTGCGGTTTCAGATCTCAGCACTTATCTGCTAGTTGATAAAACTGTTTTCTCTGTAATAGACATCTTTTCTCTTTTCCACTCCCTACTCCTGTTCTTTTTCGCTTTCTACCCATTTTCCCTCCTGTCCAAGCCTGTGGGCCAAGGTGAAGGGTTCTTAAAGGAAAAGAGCTGGCCTTGGGATAGGAGTTACCTTAATACTACGGGTGGCCCTGTGTTGGAGACAGGGTGGCCGGCGTTTTGGGTGGGCAGAGAGCATCCCGCGGGTGCGGGAGATTCTCTGGCGGTGTTTCAGCCTTGGAAAGAGGACGGGGAGAAAAGGACAGGCAGAAGAGAGCTCGTCCACTTCCGACTGCCCCCCAACCCCCCTCATAAGACCCAATTTCGGTGCTTAACTCCATCCTCACCTGGCCTTCTATCAAAACTTGAGGTAGGCAGAAATCTTGAAATTGTTGTCATCAGAAAATGCATTTAAAATAATATCAAATAACTCTCAAAATTGTGTCTGTGGGGGGTGAGAAGGGAGATAAAACGCCCCACGTCCTTTTGGCTGTCTGTTGCTTAACCCGTATGATCCTCTCCCCTGGTCTTTGGCCTTGCGGAAAAGCTTCACGGGAGGAAAGCATATTGCACGTTGCGAGATTTGGGGATTCGTGTCCGAATGAAATAAAGTGTTCCGTTGCTAGACATGTTTGGTTATGCATTTTCGCCTTAGGTTGAATTTTCCTACAGGACTAGCACTCCCTGAATGGGTTGTCTTCAGTTTTATTCCCCCCACCTTCTGCTCCCCTTAATGTCTCATTCTTTGAATCAGAACATGTTTAAGGTGCAAACGTATCTTACTCCACGTCTGTAGGGCAGACGTTGTTGATGCCGTTGATTGGGCAGAAACACCAAAAACTAGTGGAGTTAGGGCGAGTTGTTTCTCGGTTCTTTCATTTTCTCACTGCTCTGAAATGTAATGACCTGATCATTGTTGTTTGGAGTTAAATTATCTGTTAAATTAGCCCTAAACAATAACTGATGATATTTTCCATTTGGGTCTGGCTGCCCCTGGATGGGAAAGAGAGGAGTCAGAGAATGCTTGGTCACCTAATAATATAATCAAAACCCATATTTAGATGCTATTATGTAAGAAAGATCACTTTCAAAGAAGCTGAATTTCATAACTAAGAAATTCTTTTAAAGGCCTGTGCTCCAGAAGGACCACAGTAATTCAAGGATGAATGTAAATAAGCATCTTTGTTGATTAAGAAAAAAATACGAACACCGTATTTTCATTACTCTTCAGAACCTAAATACTCAAAATCATCATACACTGGTTCTTGCTAATCTAAATTAATTCTGTCCTCCAAGGATAAATAGTCTGAAAAAAGAAATTTAATGTTAAGCAAAATCTGAACCATTCTAGATATGGATTTCTAGAAATCCAAGGCATATTTATTTCTTTCAGTCAGACACTGTTTTGCAATCATTGTATGAAACAGTTTTGGAATAACGCAGATGCTTTTTCCCCCTTTCTTGTTTCAGATTACTTGTATATGCAGGCATAGGTATGAGAGCTTCAGGGTATATTGAAGAAATTACATTTTTCTTATTCGTTTTAATGAAAGGACCAAAAAATCTTTAAACCCAAAGTATCATAGCAGTTGGGAAAAAAATCTTTAAAAATAGTAAGCACTATTGTGTTTCCTATTAAAATGTGCTGAATAATTAGAGGCTATGATAAAGGTTGAAATTCAGAACAAGGAAAAGGAGATAATATTATTATTTGATACTTTTATAATTTTTATAATTTATATTTTAGAGTTTGACAAAGCTTTCTTAGAAAAAGTGGAGTACTTCTCCCACCCCTTCAGAAATACTCTAGATGCGCTAAAGTAGGATCAGGTAGAACTGGCAGCAAGCAGGGCTTGTTTATTTATTTTCCCAGGAGGAAGAGGAGGAGGAGGAGGAGGAGAGTTGAAAATTTTACTTTTAATTATACATTGCAAGCTCTGATTGCAGGTTGGAAGGCTAAAATCGATCATTCTTACATCGATAGTGTTGTCTATTATTGCATTGATTTGTGTTTATGCAGAGGCTTTCAGTTATTTACTTACATATTTCAGCATCTGCCTCTTGATTATTATTGCAGGTTGGTTTTAATGAAAGAGCTTGTACAGGAAACACATTTGACAGATCAATTTTAAGTAAACTTGATAGTAGTGAATTATAGCAACCCAAGGAGTTTACAAAATTACTTATTCGTACTTGCTTTTTAGCAATTAGAAACCTGTTTCTGATTAAAACCTCATGCTACTTGAAAACTTCCATTCTTCTCTTCACATATTGTATTGATGTTTCAATAAAATAGAAAAACAGATGATTTTATTATCTCAGATATGATAGAGTGAAACCGATGAGTGAGCCTTGTCTTTTTCCGTTGGCATGACTGGATTTTCCTCCTAACAATAAGCGGGGGCCGCTGGGTTTACTAAGGATGTAGATGAAAAATCAAGGGGCAGCGGGATTTGAATATAGAAATGGTATTGTTAACTTTAAGTTATTGGGGGGGGGAGATACTCATGCTGAACAGGATATTCCAGAATTCTTCAGTATATATTAAATGCATATATACACTCATCTGTTCTATTATTTAGTATATATCTACGATTACACCTTATGAAGATAGGCATTTCTCTTGAACTAATAGCTCACATGTGAATGTTATATATCAGGGCTCATTTGAAGAAATACAACAGCTAAAGACCACGGGGTGTGTCTTTTATAGGTACAGGCAATTGTGGGAGATTGAGATTCATTCGTGTTTGTGCTTATTATCATCACAAAATGTTGAAAGATGACTTGGAAATTGAGAAAAAAAGGGGTCTAATTTATCGAGGGCTATTTACTCCTCGTTTTATAGGATTTTGCTTGCAGTTTGGAAGATGAGTCTTTCTTTCCTAGTAATTTGGAAGACATCTACCAATTATGGTTAACAGTCATATTCTTCATCTCTTGCATCCCCTACTCCTGCCACCCCCTCCAGTATTTGAGAGAAATATAGAAAGGAAAAGTAACTGAATTCTTTCTTGAGAACGAAAGGGCCTTGGGAGATGGAAAGGGAATTAATCTCTTCACCTCAGTGAGTTTTCCTGAAACTACTTGTCCTCAGCTTCCGCGACGTGAGAGGTGGAGCCTCACAGTCCGGCAGCTGCAGGCAGAAGGTGGGCGAGCCCGGGGACCTCAAGCATTGCAGAAGGTTGAAAGGAGGGAGAGATTTGAGTTTGTTTATTTGGTTTATTTTATTTTTCTATCCTGTGCCAAGCCCTTGAAGTTAACACAGCGACATAGGCTTTTAAGACCAAGCACTCTTGGCATTCTTTCGAGATTGAGATTCCAGAGCATCGGATGAACAGGATTTATATAGCTAAAGCGTGCTCACCCACCCCTCCCTCCGTCCTTTTACGCACGCACCAGCTCGTCCTCACGTGCACGGGGTAGTGGACAGTGTTGACTTGAATTGCTCTCGCTTGCTCCAAGCCTTTCCTGTGAATGAACCCGAAAACACTCGACAGGTCGTGAATAATCGTTTTAATGAGTGTGCAAAGCGTGCGATGGAGTGCACCGAGCTGTCGGGTTAAACAAACAACTTGTACCCTGACCAAATCCGATTGTTAAAGTGCAAAGTGATGTCAGTACCATTTCCATTGCCCTTCGGAAAACCACAGATCTGACACGCGGGAGTCCAATTTTCCCCATTAAAGAAAAATAACAATATTTTCCAACCGTGTATGTGATCTTCTTTAATATTAATCTGAGCCAAAGGAAACCTCATTTGAGAGTCAGAGTAGTCATGTCACTGCTACAAAAACAAAACGAAAGGGAAAACGAGGAAGAAATCAGAACAAATGTAGTCTCAGAGAGGATTTCTTTTTGATGGCTCACATGTCATTGCTGATCGATATTGTAAAAATCTTACACATATATAAAATTTTATAGCTCACCACAACCAAATATCAAGGTAAGTGTATCTAACCAACTGGGATTGGTAATTTGCTTCTGTACTAAAACTGAATCTCTGTACCTGTAAAAACTTTTTCTATTGAAAATTTAAAAAATATGCTGTTATATATTAGCCTGTGAGAGAATGAAGGGACAAGGAGTTTCCACATTTATGCTCTCAAGGAAAACATTTTGGAGGAAAGTAATGGGAAAGGAACCCTGATGGGCCACCATCTAAAACAATAACAAAAAGCACAAGTGAGCTCTTGACGGATCACACACTTTTCCCTTTCTTCGCACAACTGCAGTGGGGAAATATTTTTCTTTCGATCCAGTTAAACGATCTACTTGGAATCGGCCACATGTTCTCTTTTCCTTGTTCATTCTTTTATCTTCTTTCACAATTCCAAACACCAAATACTACATGAAGAGTAAGAAAATTAAACCTCAAAAGATGTAAAAGAAATCCCTTTTACATATCCCCTCTAAAAATTTTGTGGAGAAATATGTAAAATGCTTCCCCTGCCAGCACCTCATACACACTCAGGAGTCAAGCAAAGTGGCCAAGATGCTCGGAAATCAGTGTATTAGTTCCAAATAACTAGCTTCTTCAACCAGTAACAATATGGGAAGATTAAAGTTTATCTTTTCATTGGATTAAGAATCATAGGTTATGTATTTTTCTTTATTAAAGCCTGAAAATATGTCCTATAGTCTGAAAGGTTATTTGTCCTCTTATAATTGCAATCAGCTTGTAGAAATGAAATGTTAGGGATATGGTACATTTGAATATGGGAGTTCAGAAGCATTTGCTCACTTAACTCCTACTAGCCATATTGTCCTCTAAATGTCTTTCTTTCTGACCATCTTTCACATATGAATAGTTAATATACAACCGATTGCAATTAATTGAAATAATCCACCTAAAACACGACTGAGGTGTTTGATGGAGTAAGCAATTTCTATGAAAGTCATTGTAGTTTTGTCTATTATGGTTGCTAGTTTTGATACATCTGTGTTAATTTAGCACCAATTGGATAAAATGGAAGGTATTGAAATTCAGTTTCCATCATCAAAACTTGGAAAAGACAACCAGTAGTTTAGGACTGTGTTTTTGTTGATTTTGACTGTTATCTAGTGAATGTCTGTATCAGAATATCAATTCAGAATATCCTTTATTTTCTAGGAAATTTGACAAAAAATGACTATCAAAAACTATGGGCTTGCATTTTTTATTGTTTTAAATATTTCTGGGCACACAACAGACTGTGCAGTTATTACCTAAACAGATTTCTTCTCTGTGGGCTGAGTTGAGGAATTTTAGGAGTCACTGAAAGAGCCACATCCATTTCTGTTTTAAATGCACAAACAGCAAAGCTAGAGGGTGCGTCTGTTTTTGTGTGTATATATGTAGTTAAAGAACTACACTATCAAAACATTAATTATATTTGAAAGAGAGCAGAGAGCTTGTTGTGGAGAGAACTGCATTATTGAATTTATATTCCATGGAATCTGTCTGTGGAGAGGGCTGAAATTGTATACCTGTCTTATATGATGCACCGTCTCCAGTGAGGTGCGTAACAAGAGCAAAGAGAGGCAAACTTGGAGGGGAGTGAGCTTAGGTATTTGGATGTCCTAAGCAAGGGAATCCACGTGCAAATGCAAATCACATGAAGAATAAGCATGGGGTCTTTGTTCTCTGTCAACAAAAGCAAATATAGTATTTTTCCTCCATCAAGCAAATCAAAGAATGATCTTAGCTGAATTTGGAGGAGGGGAAGAGGTTGAGTGACTAAGAATATTTCAATTACCATATTTCTGATCCCCAAGTCCTGTTTATTTCACAGCTGCCAAATTTTATATCCAAAATTTAGACTCTTTTCCTCCCAAATCCTACATTGGTATGAATCATCCCTGATCATTTTTAGTTTTTTGGCTTAATTACCAGTTTTCAGCTTTAAATTACCAATAAACTAATTAATCTGACTAATCTTTCTAAACTTCTGTTGAATAGTATAATAGCTGCAACAACAACAAAAATAAAATAACAAAAACTGCAGCAATAATGACAGAAATAAAATGTTAATAATAATGCCAACAATAATAGCAGAAACAATTTTAAAATAATTTCTCTGGTTGACAGGATGAAGATGGACTCCATTTCAGTCTGAAATGTGTTTCATGGCTGCAATCAGGCATTCCTCTGATTTCTTGTTTCACTGGTTAGATGGATGATCCATTCCAGTCCAACTCAAGTGTTCTAATAAAGACTCCCTTGGTCTAATATGGTAGGTCTTTTTAATAGCACTAAGTGCTTTTGTACTCATTCCTCTTCATTGCTATAGGCATGTCCCCCTTGGACACCATTCCCAAGTAAATCAGTCTGGGATGGAAACTGTAAACAGAGGCAGACATGTGAAGGGATTCTTGGGTAGAAAGACCTGGTGCCTTCTGGCTGGAGCTCTGCTGATGAATGGGCAAGTTGTCATATTTGGGAATCATGTTCACAAAGCTGAGGAGTTTCAGAAGGACGAAGTAACTAAGGTTCCTTTGAGTCTAAAGAGAACACTGGCCCCGAGGAACTAATCCCAAAGGGCAAGACACAAAAATCAGGAACTAAGTCCCCCTGATCACCAACTCTTTTGATTCCTTTCCAGATAAAGGGACAGAAAGGGGTCAATAAAATGAGGGGAGAAGTGAAAGGAAGAACCCAGGTTGAAGATGTTAATAACTAGTGGTGACCCAGCCAGTAAAGCTAAGCCTGTCTCCTTAGGAGGAGGTAGAGGTGCTTTTGTCAATTGTAAACGTGCCAAGGTTTACTGTCCTATGTGCAAGAACAGCCAGCCACCAGTTCCTGAGTCTAGGTTCTAAAGAAATCTGCCAGTGAGTTTGTACCTGCAAGAATCTAACTCCTCTCAGCCGAATGTTCTCCCCATCTCCTAAGCTTCTGTCCCTCCTCCCACCCCAAGGAAAAGGAAATGAAAGAAAATAAAAATCAGGTGGGGAGGGAACAGGACTCTGTCCGGCAGATGTTGGAGTTAAAGCAGGTTGTTTGATAATTGCCTTCATTTGTGAAGGGGAAAGAAAGCTGGTTAGGAGATGAAGGGCAGTTACAGGAGAGGAGAGCAGGACTGAGATAGAAATTCCTCAGCAGCCCAGCAGCTAAGGCCAAATGGAAACAGACCTTAGTTATAGAACAGACTGGGAGCAAGGAAGGGTGACTGTTAAATCTTTAGGCTTTGTTGTGTCTTCTTTCAAATCAACGTAGCCCTGAAAATTTATGAGAAAATAAGATCTGTATGCCTTGCTAAAAAACAAATTACAAAAGAAAAGCATAACTATCAATAGCCAGTTTTGTCCTCTAGAAAACTTTTTTCTTTAGATATTGTCTTCAACTTCACATATGCGCACAGTCCATAACTAAACCCAACAGTAGTTGAAGGAAGCAAGGGAGGGGAAAGAAAGGAAGGGCTGGCTTCCCTGCTGGTAGTACCAGGCATCTATCTCTGCACCTTTCAGAGCAGGGAGGCTGAACAATCTTTTTTTCGTTTCTGACTAGTTTTTTTTTTTTTTCATTTTAAAAAGTATGAAAATATTCCTGTTCATGAGAATATTATTTCACTAAAGATCGACCAAGACTAAGGAGCTTTCATTTCTAGGTATAAGTTCACTGAGGTGATGCTCATTCTGCAATGGGAGTAAGGCAACTTTGGCTGAAACTGTATATCGCTTTGCTCTTCAGTGGCTCCCCAGGCTTTCTCCGTGCACTAATAATAACTAATAACTACTAAGTTCACTTCAGCTCTTCTGGAAGTACAGCTCTGCAACTTGAAATCAAACTGGAGCTTTCCATATAAAATCCAGTTCTAATTAAAATAATATTTTAAGGAAAATATTGTTATTGTGATTTTTATTTGAATTTTTCCTTTGATTCAGAGACAAGTGTCATTTGTTTCAGTAAGAAAATTAAAAGAAATCAATATTTCCAGTAGAAGTGCCCTCAATCTTGTTACATACACCCCCAAAGTATGGCTTTTAAGAATTTATTTTCAAACACTTTGGTTTTAATTGTATATAACTGAGAACCTCTGAGTCATTGGAGATATGCCTAACTAAAAGACACTAAATTAACACTTTTATAATGGGAATATTTGACAGAAAGTAAAGATACAACAAAAGCAGTTATTTCACAAAGTAGTAAAAGTCATGCAGACATTTGTGTGCACTCAGTTTATGCACTTATTTAACAAAATTAATAGGCTTCTGTATTCCAATATCTTGAAAAATCTTTAACCAACATAAACCAGATATTTAAATGTTTATGCATTTATATATACATATATATACATTATATATGCCATGTTGCATATAGTTCAAATACATATGTTCATTTTTTATAGAAACTAAGAACTAAACAAATATTAGCATTTGTAACTTTTTACCACCAGTAATTGGGGTTTATGATCTGTAAACAATGAAGGAAAGCCAGAACCACTACATTCTGCTTAGACTGTATTAAGCAGCAAATATAGGTTTCTTTCTGTCTTGGGCTGTTGCAAGAATAAGGAATTTAGGGATGAGTGGAATTGTGATCTATATATGTTTTCAATAAACCAAGATGTAGTAATTTCATTCTTTAAACATTAACATCCTACTATTAAAGACATAAACAGTTTCAAAGATAGAGGAAGTAAGCCCAAGTCAAGTGATATTTTGAAAGGAATGGTTTCAAATGATGCTAATATTTTTTTCCAACAAAGAACTTTTCAAGGCCG